GGGGCTCTGCTGGCCCTGGCAGGTGTGACATTGCCCTGCTGTTGATGCATTCAGGGCTCGCTGCCAAGAGTGGGATGGAAAATGGAAAAATGCTCCATTTATTCAATCCCAGCAAGTGTAGCACTGTGTGCAGGGGGATGGGGTTTCGGGAGGAATCTGTCTCCTAAATGTGTGTGAATCCCAAAGCTCGTCCAGGACCCACCTGGCCAGCTCCCCTGAACACAGAACAGTTCACTTTTACCATTCAATAGCACACAACTGTCCCCTGCACATCCCAGGACAGCCCTGGGCGGTTTGGTTATGTTATAAAATGATTTTTTGGTCTAATTCACGCCTTTGGAATAGAACAGAAACTCTTCTGGTCACAGCCCCAGAGGTTCTGACACCTCCCAGAGCTGGGGCCACCTCCAGTGGCACCCTGAGAGCTGGGCAGGGACAGTGCCCTGGGGTGACAGAGTGTGTGACTGGGACAGAGTCTGCTCCTGGCACCTGCCATGTGTGAAAAACATTTACTATCATCATCCTGAAATCCCATTTCTAGGCTTTGCATTGCTAAATCAAAAATTGTCCATTTGTATTTCTCCCATATTGAGAATTTTGAAGATAAATTGTGATAAAGCATTGCTTGAACTGAAAAGTTTTCCTTTAGGCCTCAGCAGAATTAGTAGAGAAATCTGCTGATTTGTGGATTTAGTGATGCTAAATCATAAATTATTTCTAATCGCTCAAAAATGGGCCAAGTGTTGCCCACCTTAATGCAGTTTTTGGCAAAAATAACCAGTGTTTTCAGTGTGCATTGTCTAATGCACAGTGCAGGATGGGGAGATTGCAGATTGCCCAGCATGACTGATGGCAACTTTCATAAGGAATTGAATTTTAGATTTAATGTCTGACAATTACCCTTGGCAAGTAAAACAGTACAGAAGTCTCAGAGGATGCTGCTGGTTTTTCCTGAGCTCCATTTATTTTGATTTGGGTGCCCTGATAAAGCATTTTCACCCTGCTAATTCCACCTTTGACTGCAGATTTGGGTTTTATTTACTGTCCTTTTTTCTGCAGCTGATATTGCTGCCTGAACACACACAGAGATCTCTTTGTGGGGCTGCAGTTAATCCCCATTTCAGCACAGGCTCTTCCCCTTTTGGCTCCTGCATTTCTGCTGTGGCTGTGGCAGAGATGCTCTGATGTTTGTGTGAGATGTTTGTGTCTGTGCTCGCATTGTAACAGATGTGCATTGGAAGGAAAGTGAAATATGAGAATTTAAAGGGTGTCCATGAGCACGTTCCAATTGTTGGCTTTTGCCCTCAAACCCCTTCTGAACACCTCAACTGTTTGTTTTTCTGGGAGTCAAATCTCTTTCTCCTCCCAGCTCTGAGTGAGGTGAGGCAGCTGGTCTGAGCTCTCTGGYACAGCCAYAGGGAGATTTTAYTATTATTATTATTRTTATTATTAATAATATTWTCRTAGGCACCGTGCCTGTGGAGCCAGGCCATGTCTCTCTGCTCACACATCTTTAATCAGATCATCTCAAACGTGNACGTGTGGGATTGTGGCAGGGCTGGCTGTAATTCCCATTATTCTGGTTCTCCTGTAGTTCCCATTATTCTGGTTCTCCTGTAATTTCACATTATTCTGGTTCTCCTGCACCCTCTGTCCCTCTGGCTCTGTGCCTCCCAGCGCTCTCAGCACTTTGGTGATGCCAAACAGTGCAAAAACCCCTTTTCCTAAAGCATCAATGGGATGTGCTCCATGAGCCCCACAGTGTGTAACGCTCTCTCTCTTTGCAGGAACATGAACTGAAGGATGTGGAGCAGGAGAGGAATCGTCTGAGCCCTCAGCATGTCCGAGTGTGCCCCGGGGCACTGCAGCACGCCCAGGTAAGAGACCCAGTGCCACCAGTGCCACCAGTGCCACCAGTGTCACCCAGTGTCACCCAGTGTCACCCAGAGCCACCCAAACCTGTGTGTGCCCCGGGGCACTGCAGCACGCCCAGGTAAGAGACCCAGTGTCACCCAGTGTCACCCAGTGCCACCAGAGCCACCCAGTGTCACCCAGTGCCACCCAGTGCCACCAGAGCCACCCAGTGTCACCCAGTGCCACCAGTGTCACCAGAGCCACCCAGTGCCACCCAGTGCCACCCAGTGCCACCCAGTGCCATCAGTGCCACCCAGTGTCACCCAAACCTGGTGTGTGCCCCGGGGCACTGCAGCACACCCAGGTAAGAGACCCAGTGCCATCAGTGCCACCAGTGCCACCCAAACCTGTGTGTGCCCCGGGGCACTGCAGCACGCCCAGGTAAGAGACCCAGAGCCACTAGTGCCACCCAGAGCCACCCAGTGCCACCAGAGCCACCCAGTGCCATCAGTGCCACCCAGTGTCACCCAAACCTGGTGTGTGCCCCGGGGCACTGCAGCACGCCCAGGTAAGAGACCCAGAGCCACCAGTGTCACCCAGTGCCACCAGTGCCACCCAGAGCACCCAGTGCCAGTGCAATCTTCAGATTGCAATTTTGAATTTCTCAGTAAAACGTTGCAAAGCTCTTGTCTGGCAGCAAATGCCCCGAGCTCTGTTTGGCAGTTCTTTCCCTGCCACATGGAACAGTCTCAGCTATTCCAGTCTGAGAGGAAATTCTCTTTTAGCAGGAAGTTTTTCCTCATTTTTTCTGTGTGCCTGTTGGGGACTGAAGGTCTCTTTGTGGGAGTGCACCCCTGGCACATCCTGGCTGCTGGCAGAGGAGGGGGTGGCATTGCTCCCCTCCCCACAAACACACCATGAGCACTGGTGGCACTGGTGGCACTGGTGGCATCGCTCCCCTCCCCACAAACACACCATGAACACTGGTGACACTGGTGGCACTGGTGGCATCGCTCCCCTCCCCACAAACACACCATGAGCAGCCACTCCACAGGGCCACGCTTGGCTAAAAATAAAACTGCAATCTGGGATTTCTGCCGGGCTTAAGTGAGTTGCTGGGCAACCTCATTCATCTCAGGAGCTGCGACTCGCCCGAGCAGAGGGGCTGGGTGACACAGGGGCTG